GGCACCCCCGGGATAAAATAAGCCCCAAAGCAGCTTGCCGGGAGCTCGCGGAAAAGGGCTGCGTGGAGGCCGGGCCGGCGCTTCCCGGGAAAACTGAGGCCGACAGCTAAAAATTGAGGATTGTTGCTAGGAGGGGGTGTGAGCGCCAAGGGGTCGGGCCAGGGGGGTGGGGGACACCACATTTACAGGGGGCTGATGCTGGGGTGTCCCCGGGTGCCACCCGCGGAGGCTGGAGCGTCACCGCATGCACGGCGGGGAGGGGGCCGAGGCCAGGGTGGCCCCGCTGCGGAGGACCCGGCACCAGAGCGAGGCCAGTGAGGAAGGGAAAGTAAAGTTGGGAAGAAAAGCCCCCCAAAAACCACCAAACCGAAACCCAAATCCCCTTCTAGGTTTGGAAAAATGCGACGCGCCGGAAGGAAGCGGGGCTTGTTTGGGTTCAAATTGCGAGGAGGTGAAATTCGGCCCCCCAGGAGGCGACACAGTGGGGTGCTGCCAGGCCGGGGATGCTCCAGCTCATCCCTGTCACCTCCGGCAGGGCTGGGGCATGGATGAGCCCCCGGCACCTCAGCCGGACCCCTGCCCGCTCCTCCACCTTGCAGCGAGGCCCCGTGTCCCCGGAGCAGCTGGGGCCGTGTCCCCGCGGAGCCGGCGCGCGGGGGCGCCGGGACGGGGCGGCCGCCGGGGGTGCCCCGGGCTGCGGGCAGGGGCTGGGAGCAGCGCGGGCGGCTCCCAGCCCCGTGCCCTGCTTTGCCCCGCGACGCACGTGGGTTTCGGCATCGCTCTTCCCGGAGCATCTTCCCAGTGCAGCGCCGGGGCCAGGCACCCCGGCGCCGTGGGGATGCTCCCGGGATGCGCGTGCTGCATTGGCGAGCTCCCAGCGCGCAGGGAAAGCACCAGGGTCCTGGTGTGCGCGGAGCGAAGGATGGAGCTGCGGGAAGCGCTTCGGGCTGCCGCGGGGTCCTGTCGCTGCCCCACGTGCACCGGGTCGGCACCGGAATGGCACCGGGACCCGCTCGGGCTCCCCTAGCGCTGCTGCAGGTGCTGCAGGACGAGGTGGCCTCAGGGCAGCAGCTTAATCCCTGCCCCAAGCCCATGGCACCCTCAGCCATGGTCCAGTGATTTAAATGCAGATAGGTGATTTAAATGCATATAGATAATTTAAATGTATATAGGCTGCTGGCAGGGCCCTCCGGTCCCTTGTTTACCATTCATTTGTGCTTCTCAGCCCCAACAAAAGCGGGGCCGGAGGCAGCTTGGGGTGCCCAGAGTCCCCTTGTGGGTTTGGCCCCCGCTGGGGCTGCGGCCGCCTCAGGAGATGGGACGGATGCTCCCTTGTTTAGAGAGGAACCCGCAGCTGCTTTATTTGCATTTTCAAGGAAACAAGCGCAGGAACCTTTCCCTTGGTCTCTGGCTCCGTAAAAGCTGGATTTTTTTTTTGTGCCAAGCTTGACCTAAGAGTGACCTTTTCAGAGTATTGCCATTTTTTTTTCTTCTATTTGTTTACTCCTTTAATAACGATGCCATGTGGGGAGCGGGTCAGTTAAAGGTGAAATTAGCTTTCGATGTAAACACAGGCTTAATTCAGAAGCACAGGCTGCGTTTTGCAGGCTTTAAAATCTCATAGAACTGATCGACCCCTGCAAGCTGGGGAGTCTGTGCAGGTAGGAGTGGGATGCAGCGACCCAGGTCACTTACAGGGTGACCCAGGTCACTTACGGGGTGACCAGTGCATGCTTCAGCTCCAGTTTTTGTCCTTTGTTGCATTTGCTGCATTTAACCTCAGTGTCCAGCATGTCCATGCATCAGTAAACTGGTAGCTCCATCCTTATGCTCCTCTTGGCTGCCTTGGACCAAGCAGAGCCAGTTTCAAATGTGCAGGTTGAATTTCCACTAAGGAAAAAAAACTAACTACACTTGAATCTCTCTTGGATAGCATTTTCCCCAAGCAAAATCTAACAGCTACTCAGAGCAAGGCCATTTAGTAACAGCAGTTCCCCCTCGCATTGCTGGAGGAAAGTCCTGACATTGCTGAGTTCTCCAGGAATAGCTAAAACATTTATGGTCCTTGGTAGCATCATCCTGACATCCTTATAGCGGCATGATGAAGCCTGGCATGGATGCTGTGGGGTACGGGCAGCACCGGGGATTTGCGGGTGTCACCGCGGGATCCGGGGATGCCGCGTGTCCAAGCCCGCTCTCCCACCGCGGATGAGCCCCGGAGCCGCGGCGCGCGCTGCCTTTCCCCCCCGGCTGCTGCGC